CCGACCGCCAATTCTTCAACATCGTCCTTTAGTGGAAAACGTCCTTGAAAAACGCTAAAAGAGTTTTGAGCCTCGGTGGCACCCGTCCTTCGCGCATCAGCCGGAAGTAGCGGGCACTTGGCCGGAAGTGGGGCTGTGCAGGCCAGGTGTACCTGGAGGAGTCGCCGAGTTGCCGCACTCCGCGGGATCTGTGATCTGTAATTGTGGTGTCCGCGCTGGCCGGGCCCAGGTGAGTGGCGGCGGCTGGGTAGAAGGTCGCACCGGCGGGCCCGCGCGCGCCAAGGCCGTGCCTCTCTGCACTTCTCCGTCCGTTGCCGGGCGCTTCTCACAGGCCCGGCTCTAGATAGAACCTTGGGGACCCCAGCCACTCCGGAGTTCTGTGACCTTGCGAGCGGCTTACCCGAACCTGTATTTCTCAGCTGTGAGCCAGAGAGAATAACAGTACTTGTCTCCCAGACCTGTGGTGAGAGTGTAGCGAGACGCACCTCATCACACGTAGGCATCTTGAAGATTCCGATTCTGTAGGTCGGGTGGGGCCTGGTGAGGCTGATGCTGCTGTTCCTCGGGCCACACTTTGAGCAGTATTTTGCTTAGTACCTGGGATGGGGTGAGTCTTCAATAAATAGCAAACGGTTTTTTTTTGTTGTTGTTGTGCTGTGTTTTTTTAAGTATCTGTTGCACAAGCCTACCTAAGGATAGCATGGATGCCCCACTCCCTTTCTCTCTCCAGGAGTAAGACAAGTGATTACCTTTTCTCTTCATGTACAAACCATGACACAGCTCTTCCGCCCTGACTCAGGAAGCTTTGGGCCCTGTCTATACAGTTAGGTTATGCCGAGGTGATTCTTCATTGCGCACTCGCTGTAGATGCTCGGACGGTGCTCATCCTGTGGAGCTGGTCGCCAAGGTCTTTAGCACCAGCGCAGCTCATGTTTTATGCTTGAGTATGTGTTGCTGCTGTAGTATGAATGCATGTTTTCCGTTCTTTGAGTAGTTATAACAGCTACCTTTCCAGAACTAGATTCTGCAACTCGCTGCTCTGAATGGCGCTGGGATGAGTGTACTACTGCCTGATAGAACAAAATGAAACCGGATCCGGGGCCTTTGGGCCCGGGGCTGGGAAGGAGACCCCCCAGACCCGGGGGTGGGTGGCTGCGGACTTGGCCCCTTTCCCAGGGGGGCTGAGGGCCGACTCCATTTTTTTCCTAAAAAACAACAACAAAACAAAACCCTGGAGACTCAGTGCCATCTATAGTACAACTGGGAAAGTGAGGCCTTTGTCAGTTACGCAGGTCTAATTTGTCAGTTTGGCTTTCTTCCCAATTCATTGGCTTACTTTTCTTTCTCTTACTTTCGTTTTGGATTTATTTTTCTATTCCCCAGTACGGCCTTGTCATTCATCATGTAAGTCAGTCAACTTTGATATTAAAGAATTTTGAAGTTCCCCCTTCACTTGCCTGAAATACCGTGTTGTGCAGCCTTGCAAATTTAGGAAAACCGATTTAAAATCAAGTGTTTGATGGAGTTAACACTGATAGGTACTTGGACCATTTATTTGGGGATTTGTCCACATAATTGGGTACAGCTACTTCTCTCCACCTGCAGGGGTTTTGTCATTTCTCTACTAGTCCCATTCAGATGGGCTGAGAGAACATGCGTTTCTGCTTTTTGTTACAGTGAGATTTTTTAACGACGAGTCTTATGGACCCTTTAAGAGTGGTGACTCTAGCAGAATTATCTGTGGGGCCTTGCCAGACTATATCTACCCAGGCCCTTCTTGTCATTCTGATAGAGAAAAAGTAGAGTTTTAGAAGGGGAGGAGAAGGCTATGAACGCTAAAAGAGTTTCATAGATTATTGTAATGTGCTTTTTTTTCGCCCATAAGCATGGAACCTAGAATGAAGTAGAGGGGATAGGCTGTTAGACTAGATTTTGGTTTACACTAGTGCTTTACCTTCCTGTAAGCTGTGTTCCTGTGTGGAACTAAGCATAGAAGAGTCTAGCCCAGTTAGCATCTGTATTAACAGCTAGGGGTCCATACCGTCAGCCTCTAAACTCTCACCACGGGCTTAAAGCTTTGTAAACCGATCAGGAGACTCCAGCACCTAGAAAAAGTTAGTTGTTTTAATTCTTAGGGTTGCCCAATAAATTATTTGCTAAGGTAAGAATGGGTTTTGAAGTATCCATTTATTTGTGGCAATTTTATCAGGATATAAGAGGTTTAAACCTTTCTAGCAGAAAGATCAGAAATCAGAATTAAGGGTTGAGATCTGATAACTGGTAAATTGAAAATGCTGAGGGTGTTATATACTTAATCTACAGTTAGCATGGCTGCCTTCTTCCTCCTGGCTCTCTCACTTCTGGACTATAGTTTAAAATGAAGCTATTCGGCCTTGCTCAGACCTGTACCTGGAAGGCAGAAAGGTAAGATTCCTTACTCCTATGAAATCACATGATTCAGGGTGATTTGGGCAGTGCTGTTCAGAACAGCCATGCTCCAGGGGTCTCTGAGGTTCCACTCTGGTTAATAAGAAGCCCTAAAGCGGAGGTAGGGAGCAGGGTATACTTGGGGGCACTTAATCTAGGAAAGGGGCTTTGTGAAATGATGCCACATATCTTTGAATCTTCATAGAGGCATCAGGAGTTATTGGGCATCTCATGGTGTTCTCAGCTTTCTAATGGATTCTCTGGGAGTCCTTAAGTAAGGAGGAACTAACTCAGCTGTGTTTTCTCTACCTGGGTAACACATCCTTACCTCTTTTTCTCCCCACATTTTACTTTGTTGTTCTATATCCAGTATTTCTTTCCTTTTCTGCAGTATTTGATACCCAACTTCCAAAGTGGTTACATTTCATACCTGTATACTAGAGGCCCGGTGCACGAAATTCATGCATGGGGAGCGGGGAGGGGTCCCCTCAGCCCAGCCTGCACCCTCTTCAATCCGGGACCCCTCGGGGGATGTCCAACTGCCGGTTTAGGCCTATCCCGGGGATCGGGCCTAAACGGGCAGTCGGACATCCCCTAAACTGGCAGTCGGACATACCTCTCACAATCCTGGACCACTGAATCCTAATCGCTCACCTGCCTGCCTGCCTGGTCGCCTCTAACTGCCCCCTTCTGCCATCCTGATCGCCCCTCACTGCCTCTGCGTGCTGGCCTGGTCGCCCCTAACTGCCCCCCCTGCTGGCCTGGTCGCCCCATGCAGCCTGCTTGTTCAGTCGTTTGGTTGTTCCTCACTAACCCCCCTGCCGGCCTGGTCATAGGCAGCCATCTTGTGAGGGCGTGAGGGTTAATTTGCATATTATCTCTATTATATAGGATGGTGTCTATGCACTTAACACTAAAAGTTCTGTGATGAAAAAGTAAGTAGCTACTGTTTGTTTGTTATTTGCAGTTTGGCTCTGCATGCCTCTAAGATTATTTTGTTATCATTTCTGCCCATTCTGTGGGCATCCATAAAGAAGTTCTAAAGACAGTAAAAAGTGCTTGCACTGGGAATAACTTTTCAACATTTTCCTTGAATATTAAGGTTATTTTCTCTGTTCACTGATTGTCTTCTTGATTAATAATACCTTAATCTCCTGTTAGCACATGCATTTTGTAAATTTAAATTTTGTCAGTTATACATGGATATGGTTTACACAGTCAAATAATTCAAGAGTTTATAACACTAAATAGTAATTTCCTCTTTCTCTCCCTTTATTTTCGTTTCCTAAAGGCACTTTCACCTATGTGTCTGTTTCTTTTGACATTTATCAGTATATTTCTGAATAACATATTTGTGTTGCTTTTTTTTATTTCTAGGAGATCAAATCAATAGCTATAAAAATCTCTTTATTTTTTTATTGAGGCTCTAGGTCTCTTGTATCACTACCCACTTTCCCTAATCATCTTCACCTCCCTTTATCTTCTGAATATAGTTTGCTCATATTTCTTTTTAAATATATTTTTATTGATTTCAGAGAGGAAGGGAGAGGAGAGATCGAAACATCAATGATGAGAGAGAATCATTGATTGGCTGCCTCCTGCACGCCCCCCACTGGGGACTGAGCTCAAAATCTGCACATGTGCCCTTGGCCGGAATCGAACCTGGGACCCTTCAGTCCATAGGCTGACACTCTATCCACTGAGCCAAACCAGCCAGGGCTAGTTTGCCCATATTTTTAAAAATATTTATTGATTTGAGAGAGAGAGAGAGAGAAATTGATTTTTTCCACTTATTTCTACATTCATTTGTTTATTCTTTTGTTTGTTTTTTGTTAATCCTCACCTGAGGATATTTTTTCCATTGACTTTTTCTTTTAAATATTTTTATTGATTTCAGAGAGGAAGGGAGAGGGAGAAGGAGAGAGAGATAGAAAGAAAGATAGAAACATGAATGAGAGAGAACCATTGGTGGGCTACCTCCTGCATGCCCCATACTGGGGATGAGCCTGCAACCCAGGCATGTGCCCTGACCTGGAATCAAACTGTGACCTCCTAGTTCATAGGTTGACACTCAACAACTGGGCCATGCCGGCTGGGCCATTGATTTTTTTTTTTAGGGAGAATGGAAAGGGGAGAGGGGGGAAAGAGAGAAACATCAATGTGAGAGAGACACATTGATTGGTTGCCTCCCTCAAGTGCCTTGACTAGGGCCGGGGATGAAACCTGCAATCCAGGTACATGACCTTGACCAGAAATCAAACCCGTGACCTTTTGGTGCACAGGACAATGCTCCCTGAGCAACACCAGCCAGGGCAATGGTTGATTGTTATGTACCCTGACCGGAGATCAAACCAGCAATCAGTTGAATCGGGAAGATGCTCTAACCAACTGAGCTACTTGGCCAGGGCCAGTTTACTCAAAATTTTTAGTTAGGTTGATATTCAAGGTTTATATTAATAAGATTATGTAAATATTATTTACAGTTGAGCAGGGAGTATACTATAACATTTTTTTATCTTGTACAACTTTTTTGTTTTCCTGGAGTTAATTTTTGTTATTGTTAATTGGTTCGGTTTTCTGTCTCCTTACCTCAGATTATATCAGTTAGAAGTGTAAATCTGCTTTCCCCAGTAATAACCATCTTCTCCAGCATGAACTGCTTACTCTTTATGTCTGCTCACAGCTCTAGTCCTAGAATCTTTTTTATTTTTAAAACCTCGCCTGAGGATATTTTTCCACTGATTTTTAGAGAGAGTGGAAGATAGAGGAAAAGACAGAGAGAAATATTGATGTAGTGGTTAC